TTATGTCTGTCTGTACAGTTTTCCAAACTTTTTTTGGTCTCGTAAATGTAAAAGACATGCCCTCTTAATTTTTTAAAAACAACTTTGGAATAATGGAAGTCTTCAGTGTGTCAAACAGTTTCGTATATGCATGATTTTGTTGACCAGGTTTTGGGGAGGGGGCAGCCCATAATCTAGCAGACGCCAAATAAACAAAGCTTACTCTTTGGTATTATTATCATAATTATTTTTTATTATTTACTCTCCGAGAGATGGGGGTGCATGGCTCGTTAATTATGTCACTGATGTCAAATTAATATAAAAAGGGCGTTAAAACAACAAGCCTATACAGGTGTTAAACACTGAAGAATATGACGATGAACAAAATATAATTGACCAGCAATATATCGTAGACAATAAATAAACCAGTGCAGAAAAAAATTGTGTAAACCTTATTAACTTATTTATCATCAGGTAGGCCTAGTTTACAGCACAGACACGGATATTGTCTACGGTTCAAAGTCTAGGACAATGTGGATTGTTACCGAGTCGATTATTAGCACAGTTCTGTCAATTTAGAGTTACTAAATTCAGCAGGGAAAACGGGTACCAGCAACTCTCCTATGGCCACGCACGGAATAACGGAGTGGAACCCTGCAGCAAACAAAAAAACGGATGGTGTCGTGAAATTTGGCGGGAAAAATACATCATCTATCAAAAAGCTAATATACGGTTACAACGTAACGAAAGCATCAATCGATTCTTCCGGATACTGTTAAAAACACAGAAAGTTTTGTTCCCATGATGCAGCGTTATCGGTGCCACAGTATACCGCTTCACACTCGCATTCGAATTTTCATCCGTGCTCTGTTCGCATGTTTCGAATTATGACAAAGAACTTCATTTTTTTATCGAAAATAGAAAGCAGTTACTACCATACTCTTTTTGGTCTTCCAAAAATAATTTTACCATTATTATGAAGATTGATACATGTATAATGCTGTTGAGCGGGACGCTAAATAATCAAACTTTAGAAGTTATTTTAACTGTTAACTTTTTTGACCTTTTTATTCTTTGAGAAAGTTCTTTTGACTACAACAATTATAGGACACAAAATTAACTTTTTCAAATCTCATTTTATAGTCTTGCCCCTTCCAGTGTCATGAACCAAGTTTTGAGGGGGAAAAATGCGCATTCCCCCGGGCCAAACAGCTACGGACCTTTATCATGCTGCCACCATATTGGTCATGATCCCTGTATCCAATAACAGTACTGAATGATGATTTTTGTGTGTGTGAAAAAGGAACCAGACTATCTTTCTGTCTAGCCTCACCTTGGTTACCTTGATTTGGATGGGGAAAAAATCATGATGTCCGCAACATGATAATGGTCTATAGGGGGCCTAGCTCTTCAGGTCCTAGTACTGGTTTCAGCTCACTGCCTACCGGTCTAAATTGCGTATCCTAGAGTCACCAGATCAAACTTTTTTTGAAAATAGAAAATATTAAAAGAAAAAACTAGAAGTAGGCCTACGCCCCTTGATTAAAGCACAATCCAGCTGACGTACGACCGCACAGGTAATTAACTTCAGGATACAGTGAATCCATCAGATTTACGAGTATTTGATGTAATGTCGAAGTTTCCTTAAAAAGTACGTACGATTACTATAGGCTTATACTTTTCCTTCGATTTTGCGCTGGTCGTCCATTTTTAAAACGAGGAGTATAATTCGGCATTGGCTGACTGGAGCGAGTCTATTATAGGTGTAGGATATTTTAGGGGTGCAGACCAGTAAATCGGTCCGAAATTGCCTGCGCCGGCCAAATCTTCGGTATTTGAGCATGCTGTGGGCCATGAACTTGAGGGATTGTAAAAAATATGGGTGGAAGCCGTGCACAGGACTGGGAGCTTGCAGTTCTGTGTAATTTTGATGTAATTTGGACCCTAAAAGCGCTCTATTTTGCAATGGAGTGTAGGCATCGTTTTTCAAAATGGCGATGGGCTTCAGGACTATTTTTAGGGGTGATCATCTTCAGATGGAAATTTTTCCTAAAAGTCATCAGTTGACCCCCCGAAAATTGAAAAGAACATGAAAGATGATGAAATAAGCTTTAATTTGATGTGTGTCTCGAACACCTTGGAGAGTTGTGAGTATTTTTCCCGAATTTTTGAAGTGGGAGCATTTACCATTGGGGTCTATGGAAGTTTATTTACTGGTCTGCTACCTTAGTCATCACATGACAGTGACGATGATAGCCGAGCTCTTTAGGCGTACCTTGTACTACGTACCACCCCAATACTACCGGAATCACAGTGGACACGACCTTGGCCGAACGCATTCACGCATTATGGATCGCCCTTATGATAATACAAAATAATGGCAATTCAATAGATTTCCGCACAACAATGCAGCGTGCGCGCCAATGTCATCGTACTTTGTGCAGACTATCTGTTTGAAATAGCGCCCTCAATACAATTTATCCAGCTGATCAGTCGGAGTGCAATTTTTCTCTCTAACTATAGGTACCGTTCTCTAACTGTAAGGATCGAGTTACAAAACTGCAGGATTGGAACCCCTTTTATGGAAATTGCTCCTGACAAGGTTTACAGGTACGCAGGATTAAGGGTGTATAAAGGGGAAATTTAGACAAGAAAATAAACGGACAAAACAAGTAAAATAGATTATGTATCAGTGCTGTGATGAACAACTACTGTCTAGAAGCCAAACTATTACCCGAGGGAGACTGGGTAAATATCTTACATGATTGGGCCAATAAATATCATGATAAGCACGCGGCAGGAAGCGGCTTTGCTCTGCATAACAAGAACTGACTAAGAATACAAAAGGGGGTTGTACTAACTTGAGCTGTCAAGAGGCGGCGACTGCAGGTAGTTTGCAATTTTTTTCGGCATGATTTTCCTATTTTGACACGGGGGGGGGGGGGTAGATCCCCTTAGCTAATTAGTGTGCATGACATGCATGCCGAGGCCGAGGCTGCAAACATTTCACAGATGACACAAGTTGGGTGATTTAGTTGTTTTTTTCCCGAGAAAAAAGCAACCACAAAACAACGCATCACCCGACGCCCGACAGACCCACTACATAATCACACTCCACACATTTGTGATAGCGCCCTCAAGTGCATATCCTACCGATCTGTGGGGAGCAATTTTGTTGGAAACTGAGGGCGCCAAATATATAATATATATCAAATAATTATACATGTAGTACACACCTTGGATGACAGCCATGGAATCTCTTTAGAATGTGCAAATGGGTCTGGTGCTTAAAAAGTTGAGTGCGCAGAGAACATTCAAGTCACCGTCACCAGTGTACCCAGGGATGCACTGCCCCATTGAAAACAGTGTAAAATCAACCAAGTTCAGGGCCAAATAAGTTGCAAGCCGACATCACTGGGGTTTCTCAAACAAAAAAAATAAAATTATTGTCTTGTCCATCCTCTTTCAATTTCTTTTCATTTTTTGGTGGGTTATCCAATTAAATTTATAAATATTCACACCAAAACAAACTCACCTCCCGAAAAGCTGATACTTCCCAAGCCTTCGTGCAGTCATTTTACAAATGGCATCCATTTTTCAACCGTACTTTTATCAAGTCTGCCCTCAGATGGAAGCCTAAAAAACAGGGAGTTGATTTTCGGTTAATAAGGGCTATCCGATTTACATCTTACCATACAGGTGTATTCAATTTGGGGGAGGGGGCTTCCTCCAGCGTCATTTGGCTTATTTTTTGTTTAGGAAGTGAGTACCAGAATTTTATGACAGGTACCATACCCCTCCCTTCCCCCCCCCCCCCCCCCCAGGATACTTCCCCCCCCCCCCCCCCCGGAAATCACTCCTTTGTCCCTCCTTAAATTCTGGGGTGCACAGTTCTAATTAAAGTGAGAATTTCGACGCGAGTCATTAGCATGAAAAGTACATACACAACTTAATTCTTTTAAAAGGGTGGGATCGTGTAAAATCATAATTGGAAACAAATCCCTATAATTCACCACACACTGCAGTTCTTTCTTGTACAACGATTTTATTACAATTTGTTTATGCTTGTCGGCAAAAATATTAAAAATGACATTTTTTTAAAACGTGTTACCACATTGCTGTCGTGTTGAGTTTGAAAACATAAGAACAAAACAAACAAAATAAAAAAAGGACAATTATATCACTGGAATTTTACGTCACAGTCACATTGGCTTATACGTATTTTGTCAATAATGAATCATGTATATTTCCACTGATCTGTCCATTCAGTTACAAACAGTTACGTCACTCATGGCACCATAAAATTGTCTCAAATACTGCACATCCTGAGCCACACATGATCACTGAAAGCTGACGATCATGAAAATTTGTGCTTTCAGAATTTGAAATCTAGATTGGTATTCGCTTGGTATTCGCAATGGAAGCTTCTTACCTGGTTAATAACCAGAAAAATTGGATTCTGCATCTCTAGATGTCTAGTTATCCTGCACTTACATTTGCGGAAAGTTTGTCCAAAAATGACTGCAGTATATTTCTCTAGATCAAGGGTCATGTTCTTTGCCCTTTTAATTTTTCCTAGTTATTAACCAGGTAAGTAGCCTCCATAGCGAATATCAAGTGATAAAAAAGTAGAGTTAGAAGTTCAGGAAACATAACTTACTTTAGCACGCAGTGGTGTGTGGCTCGCAATACGGAGAAACTCCAGTATTTGAGACACGTTTATGGGACTATGTCATTCAAAGAGCACCATTTATTAAGCAAATCGAGTCCCCGCCTCAACCCTTACAGTGTTTTTGGAGATTACCGACACAAAATCAGTCCAAAAACATTAATTACGCACATTTAAGCAATGATCATTTGACAAAACGCGGAAATACGATGAATGCAGTCACTTTGTAGACGGAAGCCATGTTTGTTTGGAGTCCTGACGGCATGCCATTGCCAGATCTCCAACTCCAAGCGATATCACAGGTACCAGACTAATATGGCGGAACACTGTAGGCCAATAATGTTTTTTTTTTGGGGGGGGGGTCTTTAGGTTAGGGTGGCAAAACTGTCGAAAAAGGCATAAATGCTATAATATCTAAGATTGGTATACAAATATAGTTGCACGTTCAACTGAGTGTAAATTGATTTGGACGTGTTAAGGATTCCAACGACCGTGGGCGTCAATCACAGTTATTTATATCACTTTAGGATATAGGCCCATGCTGGTCTTTTCCGAAAGGTGACAAATTAAAAGTTAAATTATCATGCAAAATAATTAATTTACCATTTTGCTTAAGTGTAAAGAGATTTTCGGTCAGCAGCACAGTCACACTCACACACGATGAATAATCATAACATTTAATTAGCACAACCTGAATATTCATGTGAGGTCAGGCACGTAACACAAAGCGCGCATTTCATTGGTCAGAGAGTGTGGATGGAAAGATCTCGCGAAGCTTTGTTTTAAGCACATCATATCACCAGTAATATACGTGTAAGTAGAGCACACAATGTGAACTGACTGATTTTATTTTACCAGCACAGAAATTTAGTTGTTATTTCCGGACATATCCGAAGCAATAATGACATACCGTAAGTATTACGACTCCATAGTTTAGAACAAATACAATCGCTTCAACCAAGAAGGCCCATTAACCAAATTGTACAAAATTAAACCATTTTTTGATAAGAATTATAGTATAACAAAAAATTTGTCTGAACAATAACACCAGTCAACCCTTCTGCGCCTGTGCATGACACGTGCCCACAGAATGTACGTGCATTGGACGAGGCAGTAAGCTGCCCACAATGCTTTGGGCGCCTATGATTCCTTCACAAAATTTTGTGCAAGAAATCAGCCCTTCCAACAGCGCCCTGTTTGCAACAAACGCCATTATTATAAAATCGAATCCAAACAATACAAAACTAATACACCTGCGGCAACCAACTTGTGGCACAAAAAAATCTCTGTCATCGTTCAAAGTCGCGTCACAGTCATTACTGTATCGCCTTGAATTGGTATCTTAATTACATCCTTTTGTTCGCTCAATATACAGATATTTCCGTCTTTGGTCCGAACGCGCTATAGATCAATCCGACAGTGTCGTCCGTCCGTTTTCCGGCGCGGTGCATGCGGACAGCTGCCTGCCGCCGAGGTGCAGGTGAATCGCAACCCGTCACGTACACTTGTCCACCAAATCGTAGGCACATCACGTCTATCCTGTGTGAAGTGTAAGGTCACTGTACAGTGTTGTCGGGGTCAGCTTTCCGGGGGAATCGATGGTTCGGTGCGACGTGAGAGGCGTTTTGGGAAGCAGAGAAGCGTTTTCAAGCGACAGACAATGCGGCCGGCTATACTCTTTTACTCCTTTGCTCTTTTACTGAATCCATTCTACAAAGTTCAGCTTGAACCCTCACAAAAACTCTATACCTGTTTCGTCTGCTTAATGGTAATTTGAGTTAGTCTGAACTGTCATCATTTACAGTCAGATTTCACCCGGAATCCAGGTCAAATTGACCTGACATTTGTGAGGGTCAAAAGTGTCATTTTGACACTTTTCTGGGTCAAAAGTGTCATTTTGACACTTTTCTGGGTCAAAAGTGTCATTTTGACACTTTTCTGGGTCAAAATGACACTTTTACCGAGATATCCTGATACACATGACCAGGAAGATTTGGACTCAGATAGGTGTCATTTTGATCCGTAAAAGTGTCATCTGACACTGAAAAGTAGTCAAATCTGAGCTGGTGTAGCGTGAATATCCAACTCCATGAAATGTGGACTCATTGGTAGTATTACGCATGCGTAAGTACGAGAATATGTTATTTTTAGGATCACATACGGGAGAGTGACCTGTCACGTGCGAGGGATTAACCAATAATAGGGAAAAGGGGTCCGATTTTCATAGGAATCGGATTTTCATATGACATCGGGACTCAGTGTACCAGAGTGCTTGAAAAACTGTTGGTGTATACTGGTATTAGCCACGTCGCCCGATGGTGTCAATGTCACGTCCTAAAAAGGTGTCTTCAATCGTCTAGCGTCACTTTCGTTTTCTTAACTTCTCAAATGGTCATTCACTGGACAACAATAAGGCTTTGGTTAAAATGAATAAAACGTGTCAAGTTTACAAAGCAGGTTTTTTTTCTTATAGTACAAAACATGTTCACTTCTCTGATAGTTCAGTTCAGACGCGTGATCTCAAAATGTCCATTCATTATCACTGTATACAGCAGGCGATCTTGCGTAGTTTCTTTTGGATACTGCTCCTGTCATCGTCGTCGTCATCGTCGTCTTCATCCTGACTGTTACGATGTACCTTGGAGCGCAACTGGAGCAGGTCACTCCGGACGCTGGGTCGCCTGGCGTTAGGTGACACCATACCGCAGGCCTCGCTGAGGCGCCTCCGCAGGGCCAGCTTGCCGTTGCTGCTGGGCTTGAGGGCCGGGCTGCTGCTGGCGCTGATCTTACGGTGCAGGGACGGACTCATCTCGCTCGGCATCTTGGCGTTCTCAAACAGCGCCTTGAACAACACGTCGATGTTGTGGCACCTCTTGGCCGAAGTCTCTACGAAGGTGCACTTCTTGGAGGACTCGAAGGCCCGACGGGCGTCCTCAGCGTTCACTTGCCGGCTGCCCTCCCGATCGCACTTGTTGCCCGCGATCACCATGGGAACGGACTTGGCGCCGTTGCCGCACTTGGTCTCCAGGATTTGTTTGCGCAGGCGCTGTACCTCGCCGAATGAGTCCTTGTTGTCGATGCTGAAAACGAGGATGAAAACATCTCCTGGAAAGAGTTAAGAGAAAACACGACAGAATGAATAGAAAGAAAATAGTCTTCCACTTGACATCGCTTTACCAAAGGACATTAACAAATATTGTCTGCAGGACAAGAGCGAGTTGCACTGAATGTCATTACTGAGACCTCAAGATTTGGAATGGTATTTGAAATTGTAGACTGTCCAAAACTTAGCACACGCGTGCACCCTTACTACTAAGACAGACAGAATGAACACAGTAAGATATATCTGCAGAAAGATCTTTGGCTATAGGGCCATCGCAGATTGTGTCCTTTAAATACAATACAGGTAAAATAACAAGCAATTTTCAAAATTTTCAAAATGGCTGCCATTGCTTGTTATTCTACCTTTTTTTTTCAAACGGGGATAGCCAAATATCTTTCTCATGTCATACTTTGACTGTGCGCCAAATGCCATGTTTGTGTCATCAAAAGCACAATCCCATCACCTATCTGCCTTACTATACGTTACTACAATTTCGTCGCAACTTGCAAAGAAAAAAAAACGTGGTTTTCTCATACGAACTCATGGGACAGTGATAGTTCACGTGACATTGTTACAGTCCATACAAGGTTTAAAAAGAAAAGGGAGAGAGAGACTAAACATAGAACTCCGAATTCCATACGACATCGGAATCACAAAACCACAGACTCATATATTTCGTGAATAAAAACAAAACAAAAACCGAATAAAACATCTGAAAGCCTACATAACACATGTAACAACTCACACACTAACGGACATATGTATCGGCAATAACATTTCAACAAACAATCTTTAAAATACAATTATTCAGTACGTAGCTTTGTACAAATATTTTGTCAGAGACGACACATCATTTTCCAGAGGCCTGCGGTGCAAAATCTCCCTACAGATATCACGCGGATGAAAAAATACTAAGCCGATTTGGAGCCTGTAATATTCAACTTCACACACAGAAAAACGTGTGCTGTGTCATTTGGCTGATTGTGCCTCTAGGCCAACACGGCGATACTTCACACTTCGCGACCCGGCCATATTATTCATCACGCTCAATCTATCAACACATGCATATCGGTTTCCATTGCTATAGAGAGTTCTGGCAAATAAAATACAAACCACAAACTTAATTTGAAAGTTGGATTTGGGAAGAAGCGATTTGAGTGGCACCTTTACATCCTCAGGTGATCTTAGGCAGATTTGGAGCGATGATGGAGATCGTCTCGATCCGAGTGGGAAAACTAGTCGGTCATATAATAGTCTAAGACGAGATGAGCAGTCCTTTTATCAAAACAGAAATGGGTTTCGGGAAGATTTCCAAATCTCAAATGCATGTTGGAAATCAGCCTTTGCTGATTTTCTAAGAAAAAATATCGGGACTATTTTAAATCAGAATCTGTAAGTTTAGTCAAATTTATAAGGATTTGAAATAGGGTGGGTATTGGTAGGCCCTAATGTTTTTTTTATTAATATATTTCCATTTTATGTTGCTTGATGATAAAAAATATTACCTGTAATTTTGTTAGATCATTTTGATTACAAGAAAGAAAATTTGAAGATATTTTCAGGCATTATGATTCTCCCAAATATGATAGAGACATAATAATAAACTAGAAAGCACCCAGAGAGCGCAAACCTCCGCCTAGGCTAAACAATTCCCGCCATATTGCCAGTACAGCTGAAAGAAATACTCGCATAAATGGAGAAGAATCCTTAAAAGAAATTCCTGGATCCAGACCCAGATCCGGAGCACTTCCAAAATCTAATCGATTTGTACTTGTACGAAGGACCACCCCTAAATTGTTTTCATGCAAATCTGTCCATAACTTGTTTGAGCTACCTTGTTAAACAGACAAGCCAACCAACCAACCAACCAACCAAACAAACAAACATGAAAATCCGATGAAAAACATATTACCTCCTTTGCAGAGGTAATTAAGATAATATCAGTGGTGAAACAGTGCATAACATGAACACGTTTTTTCCCCAAGAACACGCCAACATTTTGAAATTGTTTGTGCGCTTTTTCATATTATAATTCGCTGAATTTCCCCCAGCCCAAATTCAACAACAGAAATAAACAGTCCTGTATCCTCGAGTCAAGATCGAAAAGGTTTTCGAGCGGTTCACCAATATTTTATTAAAGTATCAGATTTCTGTCACGTCCCTTAAGAAAATCCATCAATTCCCCTCTGACAATAGCGAGCGGGAAGGAAACAAAAATGTGACTTCCCGTAACCACGAGAGGTTTCCAGTAAATACGCGCTGCTTTCAACGAACCAGTTCGAAAACCTCTCAATAGGGGTATTAAGTGGTTCGGCCTCTTGGGGGCAGCACACACAGAAAACAGCACTTTGGTGTCGGGTTGCCCGGTGCCTCGAACTCTGCGTAAAGTACGCCGGCCGCCAGGTTTCAGAAGAAAGAACAACGACCTTTTCAAAGTGAAGAGGAAATATTCGACATTGTTGGGGAAGATGATTGATACTGTAAAACGAGCCGATACGGGGAAATTCTATGGCAGTGTGATCTATGTGTATTGGGAATTACTACGGAAGCCGGCATTTGACTTTCATCATCATAGAGACCCGGGCTTAATTGTTCCACGTGACCCGGAAGTAACTGCTCGCGCAGCCGATAACTTTGGTTTTAAGTTCCAATAGACAGACTTCGCAGTTATTAGTTTTGGATAATCAGCTTATAAAGAGTCAAGAATCATGCTCAAAATATTACCATCAACGATTATGCATTGCTTTTGGTGAGTTAATTCACATAGGGCTAACACTGATTTAATTCATGCGCTTTTATCGGTTTGGTAACGCACGGGTCAGCAACCAATCATATTGGCTTCACTTAATTTGTACACGAGCCAACTAGTCAATTAAAATGGACCAAGCAATAACACATCAATATTGCGAATGAGAGTTTCTAGTCCTTAATCCGCAATCAGTAGGCCTACATAGCCGTTGGAAATTGCGCAAACATACGGAGACATGCAGCTCCATTCAATTTTGCAGATAATACATTAAAAATTGCTTCACTTTCCGGTGATTTGTCAAGGGACAGGCCGCCGACAAGACTTGAATATATATCTTCTAAAAAGACGGGGTTTTTTTCTCAAGGTTGTTTCCGAATCTCATCGGAAGTGCGCAGTCATCTGCGAATCTTAATCAGGTATAGACCGAGTCGAGATATCTTTGCTGCATGCGCGGAAGTAATTGAATTGTACTTTGAACGTTACCATCAACGTGGACATTTTTTTTCATTCACTCGCTTTCGCAACGAGAAATCCTTTTACTGAATGAGTTATGAGATAATTTCTTATTGGCGTGCTGTGTCGTTTGAAGTTTACGTACAATATTGGACCAATATGGTTCGACTGATGCAGCGAAAATCCGCGTCCTTCAACTTAAAGGGGAAGATACTCAGATTGGACAAACAGTTGTGACTGTTCAAATAATTTGGATTAATTTTAAATAACACTTAAGATGCGGTCTCGGACACATCAATAATAGCAGGTTCAGGTACCTGACAAGCATGTACCTTATAACAAGGCATAAAGGTGTCAAAATTGAACCGATTTCGGCGGCTGACAATAGTCCACATTCCTCACCAGAAAGTGCTCACAAGCGGCGAAAAATTGCAGTTTTAGTTTCAAAAAGTATAAAACAACAACTTAAACATCAAAGAAAACAAATAAGAATGTCATATAATTTTTTCCTCAGCATTAACTTGGATTACAAAATCTGCAGACTTATAAGAAAAGGCATCTTAAAAGACGGAATTTACACCAGACGTCTTTTCTTTAGAAAGGAAATGGCGGCCCTCGTTGATTGGGGAAGTGTGGTCTACTGTGCCCAGTGTCTACTGAGTTAGTGACTCAGGATCAGTGGGCAAAGCCAGCTGCTGGCCATATGTTGTGTCCTTGGGCAAGCCACTTCATTCTGACTTGCCTCTCTCCACCCAGGAGTATAAATGGGTGCCGGAATTAGCTGGGGAGCAACCTGCGATGGACCAGCATCCCGTCCAGGGGGAATAGAACTATTCTCTTTCGTTTGTTCGTTTATTTCATGCTACTGAAAGCGGAGATAAACGCCGGCAAGATGGGCCGCATTGGCTCGTGACAGACTTTACTTTTTACTCGTCGATTGGGGATCACAGGACTAGACTTAATATCAATCTGCAGGTCGCAGACATATCCCCCGGATGCTCAACGCCACGTACAATAACGAATACACATCGCGTCAAACGACACTTCTTGCATACCGGTCACGTTCGTGAAAATAATGTTTTCAATCCCCGGGGCCCCATTTTCAACTTGGCTACATTCTCAGTCAAGCCGACTGCGGTTGATTAACTATTCATACAAGCCTTAAGCCATCTCGCATTCTGATTGGCGCCAAGGCGAAGGAGACGACGCTTTAAGTGGTCAGCAACTGCATGCACCGCAGATGAAACAACCTCAACCATCTTCCGGAATTAAAAACCAAGCTAGCTTTCTTGATTCTTATACACCGTCGACTGAACTCGAGTGACCCTTCGAGAAAGCGACAGTGTTGACCTTGCTCGCTTTTCCGCCCATTTGCTGCTAGTCATGCATGCGTGCACGATCGTTTTTTCGCGATACCGAAGCGTACATTTACCATACAGTTACAACCGGAACTTCTTTGAATACAGCCTGAAAGTATGTCAATTTGTCTTTGAGCTTCTGGACACCTCCGCGACCTTTCTATGGGCATTTACACGGGGTTGCCCTTTCTCTTGCTATATAATTTCTGACATAATGATTTCTAACCGTAATCACCCCCGAGAAATATTTATGTTGAAATTTTATCTTGGCATTTCACAAGACAAATGAGATATAATGGGTAAAAACGAATTTTACTTACGACTTTACACATCCGGATTTTCGTACCTAAGTCTCCTTGTTCGAACACGTTTGTTTTCACATCGTGTACTTACGTGAGAACGAAAATTATAACCGGACGCCAAGATTTACCTACCTACATCC